ATATATATATATATATATATATATATATATATATATATATATATTACGTACACTAGCAAACAGAACAGTTAAATATATTAATACACAAATAGCATATATCAATTTTGTTCACTGTGCAAATAAAAAGAGGGTAATGAGCTTATTGGCGTGTAAGGTGTGTGCATTATGCATCATGTTATGTTACTTGTTTCCAACTTTCCTTGGACTTTTACTTATGGATATAGTTATTGGAGAAATGAGATATTAATTTGATTTAAGAAAGCATGAATTACAAATATTTAAATCAATGTTAATGTCTATTTAGTGGTTGTTAGCATCAGCTTTGAGTTTCAGTAATATTTGTTTAAGTTAATGTATATGGGTTAATCTTATTATTGTTACAGTGATAAAAAGATACGTATTGATTATAAGAAACTATCCGACATCATATGATTTATTAAAAATTGAATTTATGCTATGCTTATATAAAGGAAATCATGGAGGATGCAGGAGTCAAAGAGACTTATGTTTTTTTGCGGTATCCTATTGGCACTCCATGAAAAATTATATTAAAGTTCTAAGATTTTAATTACATTTTTTTTATAAAAAAATAGGATTTATAAGCTAATCTGGTTTATTATATCTTAATTTAGTTTGAAATATTATAACAAGCGGGTACCCTGAACCGGAACCGGTTCCGGAAGCGGTTCCAAAATGTTAAGAACCGATATAACCGGTTCCGGTTCCTACATCTTAGGAACCGCCGGTTCCGGTTCCATGTGGGCGTTAATTGTATGTTTACATTTTGTATGCTTTCATTTTTTCTACATTCTCTTTGTTGTGTTTCATGAAACGTTCCACGCCTACCCACTCACCGCATCTATATCGAACCAAAAGTTCAAAGTTCAAACAACCAAATCACTTATGTAAACTCTCATATAATCTAAGAAGATAAAAATAAAAATAAAAAGTACTTACTTTTGGTTCAACCCCTGCAAAAATTATTAAAAAAAAAAAGTTTGTTAGCATCTATTTGAACCCCACTGGGAATTTCCATATATCGAGACTAGAAAATCCATTGGTAAGAAACACATACGAACTACAATTAAGTTAAGTTTTGACAGAGCACAATCTTTGAGAATTTTAAAGCACATTGTATGATTATGTAAGTGCCTTGTAATCATACACCTGGACATTTGGCTCCAAAAATTTGATGTGTCCCAAAGCATCATCCAAAAATTTCTTCGAAGCGGCTTCCCTTTCCTTCGTATCAACCAATTTCTTTTGCATATCCGAAGAATAAACAACCTGAGTTTCACGAATCTCTTCTACCAAAGTATCAATTGATTTCCCAAAATCCTTGCTCTTTTCTTGAATACTTGAAATCCCATCTACGAGGCTTTTAATTGTTGTATCTTGAGCAGCAAATTTCTTTGACCATTCGGAAACCAACCTATCAATCTCATCTTTAATCATCTTTTCTTGATTGTCAATCTTCGATTTCAGTTCAGTATAAAACTGCTCAGACATTTGGAATTGAGTAGAAGGAGTAGGCTGAGAAATTGATTCAGAAAACTCTAACAGAAGTTTTAACTTCCTGTTCAAAATTTTAAAATCCCTCTTCGACATTAAGACATCATCATCCGAAGTTTCAGATTGTAAGGGGGCAAGTGAAGATAACATATCATTGATATCACAAGCAGCTGCTCCTTCAAACTGTGAAGGGGGAACTGAAAAGATCGGATCAAGTTGTAGATCTTCATCCTCTGCCTCGGATACATGAACTTCAGGACCAGATTCATGTGAAGGATCAGTAGATTGAGTAGAATCATTAGTCACATTCTTACATGAACATAAAACCGCTTTGTCCTGCAATCAATAGTCACATTCTTACATGAACATCAGATGCTATTAATATTATACATACAAAGAGATACAGAGAAAATGAAGTGGGGTAAACTGTAGATTCAATTTAACTCGTCCAAAAATATATCTATTCTCTTCTTTCAACACTAGAAGGGGAAGTGGGCAAGGGCAACTATCCTAAAAAACACACTTGGAATCTTGCTGTCAAACAGGATACCACCTTAATGGAATAATAGTGTAAATGTATCACTTGTTCATGGTAAAAAAGAAAGTCAATGTGTAGAGTTCTTCGTAGTGTTCATGTGATCTGAGCCAACAATTTTTCGTAATTGAACGTGGGGAAGAAGAGAAGATCACACGGTGTATATGCTTTTGTAGTTTTGTCCATCTTAAGTTTGTGTAAAATATTCTGAAATCAGATTGTGGTGAGTAGAAATTTTATAACATAGATTTCTCTTCCAAAATATTCCGACCCACTCACCAAAAGACATTAGACTTATCACGTTTAAAACTAACTAAAAAAAGGTTTTCCTGGTCACGAATCGAGTAACTAAGTTGCTTCCCTCTAACAAACGCGAAATGTGTGAGAGAACAGATTAGAATCAGCGATAAATGAAAATAAGAACGATCTGAAACCGCAAGAAGATTTTAAGTGTATTCTCAAAACGGCACCTTTGCTTCGTGAATGCCGCCTCTACAATAATCCAGCACCTTCTCTCCGTGATGGAACGTAGTCGAGTTCAGCAGAAGAAGAGATTCAACGGCGGTCTCTTTACCTCGATCGTCCATTTCCGTCTCCGTACCGGCGGCGGTGTCCATGGTGGATGATGGTTTTGAACGGTGGTTATCGATAGCCCACGGCCCACCGCCTTGAGAAAACTTTAAACCCAACTTTTTTTTGTTCCAAGTACGGATTTGATATTTATGTTTTTTTCTTGCCCAATACTCCAATAGTTTTAATGTATATATCAATTAAGTTTAATTTTTAATCATTTATCCGTTAACAGTTATTCTTAATTATAAGAATGGCCCCTATGGTTAAAATTTTATTCGTAATTGGTTCCTTACCTGCTACAGTTTAAATTACACGACTAAAACTGTCACATTTCTAAAACTCTAATGACCAAAGTGTAAATGTCTTATCTTCTTCCCCATTAAATCGCCTTCTGATCCCGAATCAAATTCCCATTTCTTGATCTACGTTTGAAACCAAATAAGCTAGTTCATCATCCCCTCGTTCTTCGAATAAAGCAAGAAATCGGAAGTGAAAGGTTTAATTAGAGGTTTTCAGAATTGAATAATAGCAAAGGAAAATGTACAATCGTTCGTATTATTAGGTGGACACAAAATTCACACTGTTAGATTAGGGACATGGAGATCTCGTTCCCAAGCTTTCGATTATGTGACCATCGCTCCGCTATTCTCAAGGTCACATCGATCATCATTCATTGTTATTTCCAATTAACTCCGCTAGTCTTGACCGGGATCGGGCAGTTGACCCCGTACGCACGGCATATGCTGAGTTCCGCACGACGTACACACCAAAGTCCTTTTCCCTAATAAGAGCTTAATGCGTTAAGCTCTCACATTCCAAATGTAGATCCAATGCCATAATACCACTGAGAGTCATAAAGTTTCCAACGTTATGACTTTGCATGCCCATTAAGTGCTTAATACCAACAAACTTAACTTCTTAACACCTAAAGACCTTCTAGAGCATGCATGGGGAAGAATTGAGCATCAAGATCTCATTTTTATGACTCAAGACCCCTTATTGGGTCTGAAAGGACGACTTATTTGGTTAAGAGCATGTCATGCTCAAGAATCACAAAGGTTGGGACCAAAAATGACCTAAATGAAGAAATAACTAGATCCATAAGAAAAGATGATCAAGCTAGGAGCTTTTTACCCCCATAAGGTTGCTAGCAAGGTGAGAATCCCAGATCCAAGCTTATTCCAAGCTCCAATGTCCTTATACCTTCTTCTTCGTCTTCTTCAAGAACACCACCAAAACACACAAAGAAGCTCAAAGATGCACTCTTCACACTTAGTGTTAGCTAGAGGGATGATTTTTAGGTGGATGGTTATGAGGGTGAAGGTATTGGGTCCATAAGGAGATTATACAGGGTGCAAATTCTCAAAACTAGGGTTTTGGTCTGAATAGCGTACGCCCGACGTACGTGCTGAGTACGCGCGGCATACGTGCTGAGTACGCCCGACGTACGCATGCGAGTCCCGCTTTTCTCATGCATGAGTATGCCATACGTACACTCCAAGTACGCACGACGTACGAACAAAAAGGCAAACTTAACATATTTAGGGTTAAAAAACGAACCTTCTCGGGACGAGTGTTACACTAACATTACCAAAAACTCCATAACTCATGCATGGAAGAAAGGAAAGGACCAAACATGCATTTTTATGACACCATACACTCTAAAATGTCTAGAAGGACAACTCAAATGGCCTGGAGTAGTCCATACTCACAAAGACCAAGGCTTTAGGACAAAATAAACATAAACTTAAGCTTAAACAAGATCTAGCAAAGCAATCCTCAAGGTATGAACTTTATACCTTCTGGAGATTAACAATGAGGTGTAGATTCTGGATCCAAGAGGTTGAGTGCACCACCACTTCTTCAATGCTCTTCCTTCATCACCAAGAACACTCAAAAATCACTCAAAGGCTTCAAAACTCACAATCAAGAGTTAGTGTTTCGATATTAAGGCTAAGAGGGATGGAGGTTGGTCATAAGAAGGTCCAAGGGGGAAATAAGATGCTTAAATAGGGGATACAACCCTAAAAATTTGGGGTTTGGGAACAGTACGAGTATGTCTAGCGTACTCAACCTTAGTCGCGACCAAAATACTGACTTACGCCCGGCGTACAACCTATGTACGCCCAACGTAAGGACTTACTTTGAAATTAATAAACATTTAAGGGTTGAATTTAGAAATACCTGGAAACGGGTGTTACAGTACTGGGTTGGAGCAGTTCCAAGAAATGTAGATATGTTGAATTGATTTGATTTATCATTGAATTGTAAGTTTTATAAAGGGTTGTGTAGTTATGTGTCAGGGAGTTAGGCGAACTCTACAACTACAAAGGGGTTGTGATCCTTCTTTCCTGTAATTTTAGCCCGTACAACAGCTAACTGCAGACAAGGTTGTAAAAATCGTTCGACGGTAGCTCGACGGTCGACTGGTGTTAAGGGATTAATCGGTTTTGGCGGGGATTAATCGGGGACCATAGATTATTAATAAAATATTAAAATTAATCAAATATTAATATATTTTAAGAAAAACAAGTACTTCAAAATCATAAAAATAAGAAAATTTGTAATTTGAAAATACGAAAATATGAACATTTTGGTATAATATTTGAAATTTTGAAAATTTTGGAGAAAAAAAGTCGTTTTAAAAAAAAAATTTGACCTTTTTTCGACTTTTTTGACTTTTGTTGGCCGATTAATCCCGCCAAACCCGATTAATCATAAATTTCCGATTACTACCCTAATCCTCGACGGTTGGAGAACGTCAAGCGATTAATCCACTATTAATCGCCGATTAATCCCGATTTCTACAACCATTATTGCAGATGGGCTTGACTACAAATTTTAGGGCATTTTTAAATATATATCTCACCTACATAACACCATTAATTTGAATTATTCTGGATTTAAATAATTGTATTGAAAACTTGTTGGTTATTTTTTAGAATTAATGATGAGACATATGTTTTATGAGTTTTAAAATTGAAAATTTTGTTTTGAAAAATCATGTCGTTACATCCCAACTCGAAACCCTAGCCTCCATTCAGGGTTGTGAGCTTGTTTGCTTAGGTTTGGAACTTGTTCTTGGATTTTGTGAAACTTGAGGAAGAAGAGACTCCATATTGGTGCATGGAAGCAATGAGCTAGCTTAGATCCACCATCTACTTCAGATTTCTGAGTTATTACCTAAAACACGGAGGTAGGGTCCTTAAATACGGGGGAAATCCTAATTTTATGGGTTTGGGCTGCACATCTCACCATGCCGTGGTGACATTCTCACCACGTCGTGGTAGGCTTTTGCTTATTCCTTTCAAACTTTAAACGATCATAACTTCCTCGTTTCAAATATGTTTTCGATGATCTTTATATGGACTCAAATGTATTAACAAGCCCCATGATTTTATTTAGTTACTTTTGACTTAATGAATATCGAGCTTAATTCATTAACACATGCAAAGAGTCCAATTGTAACCCGTTGGCTCCAAAGCACAACTCAAAAGCTTAAATTACTTAACCAACATTATTATCATCTAATAAGGTCTAAACTTTATTCATTTGAAGCCCAAGACCTTTACTCGATCAAATTATGGTCAGTTATCCCGAAATTAAAAACATCTCGAAATTGGATGTTACAAAGAGTTCAAAACAAAGCTTTTGTAAAATTTATTTGGTTTGCAAACTTATTTGCTACCATTCCAAAAAAAAAATATTGTTTTGCAAAACTAAGAAACAATCTACAAATATATAAAATTTTGCAAAATGTTTATAAATATATTGTAAAATATAACTAATTTCAATAAAAAAATAAATTCTTTTTTTAACAAACTAATCTATTCTTAATCTACGCCTTAATACAATATATGCATCAAACGAAGTTTGAACTCTAACTTGAAGGAAGAATGAAACACACCATAACTTATGATGCTTAACATTCAAATTAATAGAGACTTTGTAGTGAAACTATTTGTTAATAAAATTTGTAAAATTATTTTGTGATGTTTTACATGCTAATAACTTTCATTTTGATATTTTTAGCCATTTAGTTACCATAATCACAAGATAAATTACATAATCAAATATTCTTTTTATTAAGTTATGCATATTTACATTTACCAAATTGATAAGTTTTTTTGAATGGAAAAACTATTATAAAACCTCTAGCAAGAAGCCAGAGACAAAAGAAAGCAAACAAAATAAAGTACATAAGAAATCAAATTACATGGCAACCAAAGGAAAAACACACCAAGATTTCCAATTCATATGAACTCCATTTCCTCTATTTTTAACCTACAAGAAAGCCAATGCTTTTATGTCTTCAAACACCCAACCACCTTGGTTGGGGAGGAGTGAAATTTGTTAAAGACAATATCATTCCTAGATCTCAAAATTCCCCATAAAACAGTTAAAAGGATTGCATGTGTGACCTTTTGATGAGTTGCCCCTTGATAAAAAAAAACATGTTTTATCGAGAGAAGTTCTTCAATTGATGTGGCATGGAACACATCTAAATCACACCATGTTTGTATTAAGCGCCAAATCTCCTTTACCCATCGACAATCGAATAAAATGTGCATGGATGATTCCGCAACAATCCCAAAAGAATCGCACAACACCGAATCCAAGCTAACACCTCGCTTTTCCAAATCCATTTTGGAAGGTAATCGATTCAAAATAGATCTCCATCCAAATAAGTTAATCTTAATTGGAATCAAATTAATCCAAAAGTATTTATATGCTAATGGAGTGCGAACCTTGAATTCCTACAAACCTCTAGGAGAGTTCACATAAAAGGTTCTATTTGTATTCTTAAGCCATTTCCAAGTGTCAGTAAAGCTTTGCAAAACAACCCCATTTAGCTATAGTGTACATCTGTTTGATTCCTCCAATTCATTAAAGGATCTGGGTAATCGACTCCAACACCATGAGCAATCAGGTAGGCCATCCGATTTGGAACACGTATCCATAATTGTGCACTGTTTTATGATTTCCAGTTTAAACAAATATGAGTATTTATCTTTCAAAATAAAATCACCCAGACATCTTTCGAACCAAAATGTAGTCTAATTTCCACACTCGAACTCTTTTTTAAGGAGTGCATGCAAATCAATATTATGAACCTCAAAATCAGATATAATATTTATGATATTAGTTTCTACCGTTCAAAAAAAAAACAATATCATTTTGCAAAACTAACAAAAAGCTAAAAAAAAATATATAAAATTTTGCAAAATGTTAATATGTATCTTGTAAATATCATTGATTTCAATAGACTAAACTGTACAAATGGTCTATGTGGTTAGCTCAAAATCGCTACTTTAGTCCAAAATAGTTTGGACTAGCACCAGAGGTCCAAACTTTTCATTTTGTTGTGAGTTTGGTCCAATTTGCTTTGAACTTTTTTCAAATGACAGATTTGCCTTTATTAATTTTCTTTTCTATTTCTTTTTTTAATTTAATTTAATTTTTGATTTAAAATTAAATATAAAAAATATACAACCATATCCTACCCCACTCACATACCTCTAGAAACACTAATACCATCTCTATCTCTATATCTCTCTTTCTCTCTCTCTCTCTCTATCTCTCTATCTCTCTCTCTCTCTCTCTCTCTCTCTCTCTCTCTCTCTCTTTCTTCATTGCTGCCGAACCACCACCTCCTGCCGACTACCGTTGTTAGACCACCACCATTTGACAGATCACTGTCGTCTGCCGGACCACCGCCACCTGTCGGCCTATCCTAGTCACCGGAGACCACCTCTACCACTCTCTCTCTTTCTCACTCACTCTCTCTCTCTCTCTTCACAAAACCATCTCAATCTTCATGATTTTCAGAAAACGAAAATACCACCACCACCACTATCTTTCGGTGACTGGTTCTGACAGAGAGGGTTCCGACCACCATTATTTATTGCCCGCTGGATCAATATCACATCTTCTTTCGCATCACCTCTGCCTTCTGGAACACCACCATCCCGTTATCCTCACTCCCAAACGACCGCCGCAAACCCTAGTAGCGACGGCTCTGAAAACCCTAGTTTCGGTGGCGGCTTGTGGTTTACACAGTGGTGGTGCTCGAGATCTGCAAAAAAAACAGATGTCTTGGTCGGAGAAAGAAATAGAGGTTGTGGTGGTGGTTTCTTGTAGGCGAAGGGCGACTGCAACGATGAACATATTAGGTGAAAAGAACGTTCCGGCAATGGTGATATAGATAGATAGATCGAGAAGATCATGGATGTGGTGTCGGACCTCCCTCCACTACCGGCTTTTTCTCTCTTCTCTTGGTAAACAATCAACGAACAAACCCATATCCACTGGTACGACGAACATGATGTTTCAAACATTAGCGGCACATCAGAGAAGGAGAGATAGCGGCAATGCTGTAACCCCGATATGTAGCTCATCTGATTTTGAAACCCTAAAATGAAGACAACTTTGTTTGTTTATTCGTCTTCTGATCTGTTTAGTGGCTAGAGAGATGGCCGATGGTGTTTCCGGTGAAAATGATATGGTGGCCAGCGGTGTTATCCGACAAGAATGGCAGGTGAGCGACGATGTAGTAATAGTGGGGAAGAAGAAAACGAGAGAGAGAGAGAGAGAGA